GTACTGCCTCGGGGTAGTGCATCATCAATACTAAAACTTTCGTATTCACTTCATTTATACGATAAAATCATATTCTTTTGTTCAATAACATCATATTGACCATTGCATGAGTTCGAGTTCATACACGGCAGTATTAATACAAGTGATATAAAGACTGACTAGACTGAAAGTACAGAATACTGACTGAACTACACGACTACTGATCTAAAACTACACGACTACTGACTGAACTCACACGAACTACTGACTGAACTACCAGACTACTGACTGAACTACAGACTACTGACTGAAGGTACAGACTAACGACTTGAACTACAGACTACTGATGAAGTACAGACTACTGACTGAAGTACAGACTACTGACTGAACTACAGATACTGACTGAACTCAGACTATGACTGAAAGTACGACTGCTGACTGAAGTACTGACTACTGCTGAAGTTACAGACTACTGACTGAACTACAGGACTACTGACTGAAACTACAGATACTGGACTGAACTACAGGACTACTGACTGAACTACAGACTATGACTGAACTACATTGCTACTGACTAACTACAGACTGACTGGACTGAAGTTACAGACTACTGACTGAAAACTACAGACTACTGACTGAAGTACAGACTATGACTGAAGTACAGACTACTGACTGAAGTACGATACTGATGAAGTAAGACTACTGACTGAAGTACAGACTACTGACCTGAAAACTCCAGACTACTGCACCTGAAACTACAACGTACTGAATGAACTACAGACTACTGATGAACTACAGACTCCTGGACAGAAACTACATGCTACTGGACTACAACTACAGGACTACTGACTGAAGTACGACTACTGACTGAACTACAGGACTACTGGACTGAAGTACAGGACTACTGAATGAAAGTACAGACTACTGACCTGAAGTACAGACTACTGACTGAACTCAGACTACTGACTGAAGTACAGACTACTGACTGAAGTACAGACTACAGACGGAAGTTACAGACTACTGAATGAAGTACGACTCTACTGACTGAACTACAGACTACGGACTAAACTACGACTCACTGACTGAACTACAGCCTACTGACTGAACTACAGACTACTGACTGGCTGAAGTACAGGATACTGACTGACAGTACAGGACTACTGACTGAACACAGGACTACTGACTGAACTACAGACTATGACTGACGTACAGACTACTGACTGGAGTACAGACTATGACTGAACTACAGACATCTGACTGAACTACAGGACTATGACTGAAGTACAGACTACTGCTGAAAGTACAGACTACTGACTGAAGTACAGCTTACTGACTGAACTACTGACTACCGACTGAAACTACAGGACTACGTCTGAAGTAACAGACTCTGACTGAAGAATACAGACTACTGACCTGAATACAACTATGACCTGAACTACCGACTACCGACCTGACGTACAGACTACTGACCTGAAGAACAGTCTACTTGGACTAACTACAGACTACTGACTGAACTACAGCTATGACTGAACTACAGATATGACTGAACTACAGACTACTGATGAACTACATGCTACTGGACTCTAAACTACAGACTACTGATCTGAAGACGATCTATGACCGTCATTCAGTGAGACATACACCCCACGTCTAGTAACCCTGACCACTCCACATCTCCACCACATCACCCTTCTTTAGTGGTAGCAGGGTGTGTCTCCATGGTTTACTTGGCAGTTCAATGTACTCACCGCCACTGTCTGTGAGTTGTAACAATGTTACATTATCACTGTTACATTTGCAATGATTCTACACTGTTACATTTACACTGTTACATTTACAATGATTGACACTGTTACATTATGTTTACAAACTTCTAACAATATTCTAGTGAGGTAGCTCAGTAGAGAAATGTGTCCTTATCACACAGGAAATCCTTTAATTTATCTACTAAAATGAACCTATAGCATCATCAAGACCAGGGTACAACTCACTTGTTTTCAGGGTTAATGAGGAGGACTCTGGCGGCTAACTGGCGTTTAGCAGGGTACACCTACAGTTACATTTACTGTTGTAATGTCCTTCGGATGTATTAGGTGTACGGAGCCCTGTTAGGGAATATTCAGGGTCATATCGGGGATTATTTAGTTGTGAAGAAAGGAAACATCGCGATAAAATAACACATAGTAAGTTTTTTAAGTAAACAAGGTAAATATATTTAATAGCCAGAAGAAGATATATCTCCATGGAACTAGTAGAAATAGAAATAAAGCTCCTCTAGCATAGGGGAACTGACCGGATTATCGGATGAATCCGGTTCAAGCCGGATATTCGCTTTAATCTCGGTTCCGGCTTCCGGTTTCGGTCGGTTTCCAAAAAATTTGGCCGGATATTCAAACAGGACATTTCTTTTTTTAAGTGTTCCTAAAATGTCAAAACATTTCTGCAAAATTCTTACTACGGGGCATCCAGTCATTGCTCCAGTGACGGTTAATTTCCACGCCTCCACGGTCGCCTGTTATCTGTCAGCGAATGTTCAAGGACCCGTATGATGTGAGATTTTGAGTGGTTAGAGTCAAACAGCTACCATTTATGCTTTACTTATGAGCATGTTCAAGCAGAGCCCAGAAGGGTCCCCTGCTTTATTGTGGTAAACAAACCGTTTGCTAAAATCCCCATACTGTCAAGGATTTAAAACAAAGGCCATCAATGACATTAAAACTTTGGACATTATCCTCGGTTATATTGAGCCACGAACTTTAAGAGCTGCTGGCTGCTGGATCTTGGGCTTCTCGTACTACTGAAGCAATTTGTACATTTGTGCTAGGCAAGGCGCAGTGAATTCTTGCAATGTTTTGATTTTATTCCAACTCGTTTCTAGCTCTGCCATACAGCCAGATCAATCAGTGACCCTCTGCATGCTGCAAACATATCAACAAGTGAATGCTGCTCCAGCGCAGAAGTTTGGTTGAAATTTGAAAATAGGCTGTGAACACAGTTAGTCGGACTGTAAGCACTTTCTCATTGTGTCCACATGGCTTTTATATTATAATTGATAAAACCACAATCAAGATTAATCTCAATTTTCCCGGCAGCCTTAAATATCTTCTTCGTATTTACCCGGTTTCGGCCCGGTAAAAATCGGACAAACCGGAATATCCGGTCTTTCTGGTCGGCAGCCAAAACTTAGACCGAGTCGGTTCCTCTACCCCCCCCTTCCCCCCAGAAACGGGCCAGGGAATGCAACGTCAAATTAATGTCAATTAATGTCATTAATGGCAATTAATGTTCATTTAATGTCAATTAAATGTACGTTTTGCAAAATTTTGGATACTGACATTAATTGACAAGATATTTTTCGACAGAGTTATGTAGTTCTACCATATTTTAGCACTCTTAGAAGTTTATATCATCAATTTTATTCACTACTATCACATATGGAAAATTGTGAAATGTGAAAAAATTCAGATATTAAACAATAAACTAAAATACTGATGAGTAGGTTTCCGTAATTTAATTTTTCTTTAAATGGGCTTGGGCCATTCCAAGGCGTGGTTCTCAAAAATCATCAGACTTAAAACTCATACATTAAACGAAATGCCTTCATGACATTTATTTTTGAATAACGGAATTTTTAAACAGCTAACATTAATCCTTCATACTAAAAAAAGCTGAATTCTAGATATTTTTACCTGGTATAAGAAACCATTAAAATATGGGCGTGGCGGTGGGACGAAGTTGGAGAGTTAGTTTGGAAGCTGAAATTTTATGGTGGTCTTGGAACCAAGGATCAACAGATAAGACATACTCAAAAATTATTTACGGGACATTTTTGTTTTTTTTGACCGACTCTAAACTTAATAGACGTGAATATCTTGAATATTTATCGAATAATGTCAATAATGTCAATTAATGTCAATTAAAGTCAATTTATTGTCAATTAATGTCAATTATGTCAATTTAATGTCAATGCGGTTTGGGTTTTTATGGAATACTGACATTAATTGACGTTGCAGCACCCCCAGCAAACAGTACCTAAGTGGAGAGTACCCCCCCCCCCCCCCCCCCCCCCCCCCCCCCCCCATACAGGATACCCCCAAGAAGGTACCTCTCAGTCGTTAGCAGCCTGTTTCTTAACGGTATATTAACAAGGTGACCTTGCGTCAGAGACGAGAACGTGGTTACTGTTTTCTCGAAAACCCCCCGTGCTTTCATCCATACCGCGTACAGTTCCTGTGTTAATTTGGACTGTGTTTAATTAGACAAGTTATTAAGAGATGAGTAATAATTTATCTCCTGCATAAAATAAAATAATTTTAATTATAAATGTATGACCCTGACTACCTGCCAGAGTACCCAATTATACAGAGTGCCAGAAGTAACTGCCCATACGCGACCCTTTAATAACTCACGTAATTCTTCTTAGAATTGCACAGAATTCAGAGATTATAGATTGAGTCAACTTTTTATTGTATTAATCAATCTCAAACTCTGGGAGAGGAAATAAAAACAATTTAATAATCCCCGGGGCTGCACAATTTATAACACACCTCACCTAAAATAGGTTGCCATCGTTAACCGTATTGACACACCGGACAATATCACACTTCTTCAGGAGCACTGTACTCTTGTTGAGGAAGGCAGTTACTCCTTGACTCCAACGTTCACCATGTACCCGTAATCTTTCAACACTCTGGGGATGACTCCTTGTCGCACTGTTTTTAATGTTACAACTTCAGACTATAGATAATACTAAAACTGTATTTTTGTTTAAAATAGTGGCACAATCATTTAAGTATTTTAAGATGAAAACCTACCGGAAATAAGGTTCCGGCTATAAGCAACATTTGAAACATCTTCATACTAAAAAAGATATTATTATGATGAAGGTAAGGTGGTCACTAGTCCTTTAATCGAATGAAATCACCTACCATATTTTGTTGATTCCTGTTGCTTGACGAAACGTTCACTATCTCCGGTTTGGTGGATGAGGTTGAGTTGCGTGTTTGTCAACAGTAACTACATCAAACAACCGATGAGGATAAGAACTGTCCCACTGTTACAACGTCACAGAGGTCTAGTACCTGAAATTAGTGGACCTTACAGGAGCTTAAAGAATAGAGATCTATGTTATAGGTGGCTTACATTATAAATGGATGTCAAAAAGATGGCTGTTAGGAATTTGGTATGATTAATTTAGTATCCGAATCTCTGAGTTGAGTATAGACAGTGTGGTGACACTCTCACGCCCACCGTTCTGTAAGTACATTTCTTATTATTCAATCTACAACAGAGGTAAACTAACCTCTTCACCTTCTGCTTCCTCGTCACCCTCAGCTTTGTTCTCGTAACACTGTTAAATTCCTCGTGATATCAGTTACCTAGCATATTTGATAATAATTAGATATGCCTCAAAACAAGGAATTCAATATTGATATAAATATTCTACATTAGTTTCTTCATTTCAATTTCATTCGGTATGCATTTAACATTGCACTTAATTTGTTAATGCTATCAAAAATTTTTTATCTTCGATAGATCTAATTCAAAGCTTATTTGGTGCCACACATACAATTTAACATAGAATTGCACTATTCACATTCCTCTGATTTAAAGCAGATCAATCCATTGGGCCAGGTTCACTACCCACAATCAACCTCCCAAACTTCAGACACAACACGCGCATCAGCATACCAAGGGGGACGTTTCTAAAACAGAATATCCACATTAATATGTTGTTAGAGAGTGATGTTTTGATTGTGCTATGAGACGATACAAAGGTCAGGTCCAGCAAGTGTATTATCAACTTCATAAAACACCAGAATGTGTGTGTGTCTGTGTGTGTGTCTGTGTGTGTGTCTGTGTGTAATTCCGAACGGTTTATTCAAAAAAAACGGTAATAGTTACGGGACTGGTTTTTTCGGTATAGTGCGACAAAACTCTGACGACGCCATAAGCAAATTTTATAAAAAATTCGGCCGGTGGTAAGTGGTTTAATTGATGTTTTGTACCACAAAATATGATAACATAAAATGGCTGAGAAAACGGCAAGAGTTACGGGCTAGGCTCCTCTCTCTGACCATATGTAGCGTATTTATTACATGGCGTATATCATTACATGGTCTTATAATACTATAAAACTTAGTAGGGGCGGGAGTGCTCAAAAACGGGTCTGTTTGGACTGTAGAGAGAGTTCATACTTTATACGACAATGTAATGCATGATTCACCAATATGATAGGCTGGTGTGGTCATGGTGTTAAGGGTTATTTTCTATTGATTATTCATTAAGAATTCACTATCTTTCTAAGCATACTATGGATAAGTGAGGCACTCGAATAGAATTGCTCGCCTAATCCGGGTTATGGACTCAGCGGGTAATTACTCCTACCCTTATTACTGCAGGCAGTGTGAAATCCGGCCGTTTAGGCGGGTTACACTAGTAATATTATATAATTAACAATAAATGTGTCTTATCGTATTACTGGTTAGTAAGATCTTCCAATGGTTTTCCCAGATCAGAAATAGAATCATCTTTAGGGACTTTTTGCTATGGATTTTTCCGAGAATATATGTCTACTTTTCTTTCTGAAATACAATTTTTAAGGGAATTCTGTATTTAATAAATCCACACTCAGAAACACGGCGGTTTCAGGTAAATTTGGCTGCGGACAAATTGGTTCTACTCATGTGTAATAGATAGAAAAACTACACCGATGCGAATGGCAACACAGCCAGATATCGACGGAGCCAAAATTACAAAGAGTCTATCTGAGGCCTATCAGGAGTTGATTTCGGTTGTTTACTATCGTGCCTTAAACTAATTACAAATCTGTCTAGCTTTCACGTGACATATTGGTAATCAGAATACCCAACACTCACAGTCGCTACGTTGGCCCAGGTTTAGAAGTGGTGCTAAAAGGTGTGATAAAGTTGCGGGAAGTACGGCAACGAAACACAAAACTTTTATCCGCAGAACGGAAATATGACTATCTTCGAGGTATTTTACAAATGCTACACGCATCCAACAATTTCACTTGCCATTTTCTGATAAGATATCTGTGACATTCTTTCAGGACTCTGTATTTCTGTTACTAAATTAATTGTTACGAGATATAAGAACTTTTCATTCCCTAATAGTGTTATTATATTTATGTATGTGTTGTATATCTTTAATTGATTGTAATTAACATTTTAAGGCGTTAATGCAAGAGTACTGCCTCGGGTAGTGCAATCATCACTACTAAAACTTTCGATTCAATATCATTTATACGATATACATCATATTCATTTTTGGTCATTATCCATTTCATATTGACCATTGAGAGGATGTGTCGGTCTCGAGGTTCATACACAGCAGTATTAATACAGTGATAGAAAGATGACTAGACTGAAGTACAGATACTGAATGAACTACAGGACTACTGACTAAACTACAGACTACTGACTGAATACAGACTACTGACTGAACTACAGACTACTGACTGAAGTACAGAATACTGATTGAAGTACAGACTACTGACTGAACTACAGGCTACTGCCTGAAGTACAGACTACTGACTGAAGTACTGACTACTGACTGACTACAGACTAATGATAACTACAGACTACTGACTGAAGTACAGACTATGACTGAAGTACAGACTACAGACTGAAGTACCGACTACTGATGATACTACAGGACTATGACTGAACTACCAGACTACTGGACTGAACTACAGACTACTGACTGAACTACAGACTACTGACTGAAACATGCTACTGACTAAACTACAGACTACTGGACGGAAGTACAGGGACTACTGACTGACTACAGACTACTGACTGAAGTACAGGACTACTGATGAAGTACAGGCTCTGACAGAAAGTACAGACACTGACTGAAAGTACAGGACTACTGACTGAGTACAGACTACTGACTGAACTACAGACTACTGACCTGAAACTACAGACTACTGACTCTGAACTACAGACTACTGACTGAATACAGACTACTGACTGAAACACATGCTCACTGACTTAAACTACAGGACTACTGACTGATGTACAGCTACTGACTGAACTACAGAACTACTGACTGAAGTACAGGACTACTGACTGAAGTACAGACTCATACTGAAGTACAGACTACTGACTGAACTACTGACTACTGACTTGAAGTACAGGCTACTGACTGAGTACAGACTACCTGACTGAAGACAGGACTACTGTGAAAGTACAGACTACTGACGTACTACAGACTATGACTAAACTACAGACTACTGACTGAACTACAGAGACTGACTGAACTACAGACTACTGACGAAGTACAGACTATGACTGAAAGTCAGACTACTGGACTGAACTACAGACTACTGACTGAACTACAGACTACTGACTGACGTACAGACTACTGGGACTGGGTACAGCTATGACTGAACTACAGACTCTGACTGATCCAGACTTCTGACTGAATAGTAAGACTACTGAATGAAGTACAGATACTGACTGGGACATGACTACTGACTGAAACTACAGACTACTGACTGAACTACAGACTACTGACTGAAGTACAGACGACTGACTGAAGTACAGGACTACTGACTGGAACTACCGGACTACTGATGTGAACTACAGATACTGAATGAGTACAGACTTCTGAATGAAGTACCGACTACTGACTGAAACTACAGACTACTGACTGAACTACAGACTACTGACTGAACTACAGACTACTGACTGAACTACAGACTACTGACTGAACTACATGCTACTGACTAAACTACAGATACTGACTGAAGTACAGACTACTGAACCGTCATAGTGAGACAAACCCACGTTTAGTACCCTGAACCACCTCAATCCTCCACCAACACACCACTGCTTAGTTGGGCAGGGTGTCTCCATGGGTTACATGCAGTTCATTGTACTCAACAGGGCCACTGTCAGAGAGTTGTAACACTGTTACATTAACACTGTACATTTGCAATGATTTACACTGTTAACATTTCCACTGTTTCCATTTACATTGCATTTACACGGATTACATTGTGTTTAAAACTTCAACCTAATAATTTAAGTGAGTAGCTTACAGTGGGAGAATTGTGTACCTTATCACACAGTAAATCCTTAATTTATTACTAAAATTGAAACCTATAGCATATCAAGACAGGGTACAATCACCTTGTTTTCAGGGTTAAATGAGGACGGGGACTCTGGCGGCCCTAACTTGCGTTTTAGCAGGGTACACCTCCAGTACTCTCCTTATGTTGTACATGTCCTTCAGATGTCTTAGGTGTAGGGAGCCTGTTAGGGATATTCAGGGTCCAAACGGGGATATTATTTAGTGTGAATAAAAGAAACATCGCGGATAAAATAACACATAGTAGTTTTTAGTAACAAGTAAATATATTTATAGCCAGAAGAAGAATATCTCCATGGTCATAGTTGAAATAAAGCTCCTCTAGATAGGAAACTGACCGGTTTCCGGCTGAATCCGGTTCCAGCGGATATTCGGCTTTAATCTCGGTTCGGTTCCGGTTTCGCTAGGTTTCGGTTTCAAAAATTTGGCCGGATATTCAACAGGACCTTTCTTTTTTAAGTGTTCCTAAAATGTATTATATTTCTGTCAAATTCTTACTAAGGGGGCATCAGTCATGCTCTCAGTGACCGGAAAATTCCCGCTCCCATCGGTCGCCTGTAATATCTGTCGGCGAATGTTCAAGCCCGTTGATGTGAGGATTTTTGAGTGGGTAGAGTCAAAACAGCTACCATTTCTGCTTTACTTATGAGCATTTCAAGCAGTGCCCTGAGGGTCCTTGCTATATTGTGGTAAACACACCCGTTGCTAACTCCCCTTACATGTCAAGGATTAAAACAAAGGCCATCATGATTAAAAATTTGGACATTATCCTCACGTTATATTGACACACGACCTTATAAGAGCTGCATGGCTGCTGGATCTTGGGCATTACTACTGAAGCAATTTGTAACTTTTGTGTGCTAGGCAAGGCGCAGTGAATTCTTGCAAGGTTTTGATTTTTATTCCAACTCGTTTCTAGCTCTGCTCATACAGCAGATCAACAGTGACCTCTGCACTTGCTCCAAACATATCAACAAGTGACTGTGCTCACAGCGCAGAAGTTTGGTTTGAAATTTGAAAATAGGGCGTGAACACAGTTAGTCGACTGTAAGCACTTTTCTCATTGTGTCCCATGGCTTTTAAATATTATAATTGATAAACCCACAATCAAGGATTATCTTCAATTTTCCGGAGCCTTAAATACTCTTCTTCTTATTACCCCGGTTCCGGCCCGGAAAATGCGACACAAACGAATATCGGTCTTTTCAGGTCGGCAGCCCAAACCTTAGACCG